CTACTTGGGAGGCTGATGCAGGAGATTCACTTGAGCTCAGGAGTTGGAGGTTGCTGTGAGCTTGATGCCACAGCACTTTACCCAAGGGGACAGCTTGAGGCTCTGTCTCAAAAAAAAATAAAATAAAATTTTGAATTAGATCTTTTATATATTTTCCATATCTCCATTTAATCTATTGAACATATGGAAAATAGGTATCACAACTGTGTTAATTTCGTTCTCTACTGACTCTAACATCTGTTTCAGTTCTGGGTTGGATTCAGTTAATCGATTAGTTCCCTCATGATGAATGGCGTTTTCCCGCTTCTTTGTATAACCATTCTCATACCTCATAATCTGTGGCTGTATGACAGACGTTGTTTTCCCTCGCTAGTGCTGGCATTTTTTATTTTCTGCTAAATCTTCTTAAGCTTTATACTGTGGGGCAGTTGAATTACCTAGAAAGAATTTGAATCCTTGAAGACTTGATTTTAAGATGTGTGGGCCACATCAAAGCAGATTGTAGGGCTAAGTATTCCCCACTACCAATACCAGATACTTAATGAATACTCAATATATTATATTATGAGTTTTTCCAGTCTGGTTCATGGGAACAGGTATGACTACTGGCCCTGTGGGAGAGTGTTTCCACTCATCTTTGGGGCGGTGCTCTGCATAGCTCAGGTAGTTCCTTATTCACATGCACTGCTCAGGACCTTGTTGAATACTTCTGTGGATCCCCTCTGCAGACCTTTAGGATCATCCCTTTCTCAACTCTCTCTTCTCTAGGTATTAGGCTGTCTCCCAGGTAAAGTGGTATCCCATGAAAGGCTCCCTATAACCACTGATGCTCAGCACCCCTTCACTGCTCCTAAGGACAGGGTTGCTAGCCACTTTGGGGCTGGAACTCCAAGTTAGCTGGTGGCCCTCAAAACAGTCTCCCTGCTCCACTTGGGTTCCCTTCTCTCAGTCTCCATCCAGAAATCCATGCACCGCAGTAATCTGGTAGCCATGTGGCTCCCCTTTTCGCTTACTTTCTCTCCTAGATCACTCTAATGGGGTACCTGATGTCCAATGCCTTGACAACCTCAGTTTCACTTATTTTGTGTGTTTTATTTACCATTATTTGAGGCTGGAGGTAAATCTAGTCCCTGTCACTTGACTTTCCCCAGAAGCTGAAGTTGTACAGTTTCCTTTATTTCTACAGAAAGGAGCATGTACGGACAGACGTACCTGGGTGTGTGGGGGGAGGGGACGACATTCTTCCCCACCTCAGTGGAGACAAGATGGGGGGCAGCAGACTCTGAAAGGGACCCGTGTAGGGCACGTGGCCCCGCCTGGTCTCTGCATCCATTCCTCTTTGCAGGTCTCACTGAAGCTCCCAAAGCAGATGGGTCTGAGCCTGGAGTCCCCAGAAAGTCTAAGGGGCAGTCAGAGGAGAAGGGATAGCATGTGGGACAAGTGGCATAGGCTCTCTCCTCTGCTAGTAAAACTTTGACAGTAGTAGGTTGGAGTACCTCACCCTGACCCCTGGCCAGAGATGAGTATGGAGAGATAGAGCGCCCAGGGAGAAGGAGCTCCTAAGAGTTCTCAGCCCCCCTTGGGGCAGGCAGGACTCTGTAGTAATCTGGGCCCGGGTTCCTGGGGTTCATGTACCTCCCTCTGTGTCTGATGAGTGGAAAGATAAACTTTCAGAGTGTCACAGTGAATGGTACAGACCTCAGAGAGTCAACTGGAGGCTCCACTGGAGTGTGACTGGCAGGATTATATGGTTCCAAGGAAGGAAGAGCCAGTGCACAGTGACCAGGATGGGGACTGTGTCTATTCAAGCTCTACTACCCAAGCCTAAACTGCAACATGTCCTGATTGTGGCATGGGGCCGTGAGGACTGCTGTGCTGGGCTCTTAATCTGCTGCCACTGTTGGAAGGGAGCACAAGCCCTGCCCAATGGATAAGCTCCTGCAAACCGGGGCACAAGGACCTCAGACATGAGCCTCTCAGGAGGTCTGCCTTCTGGAGGAACTTAGGAAGACAACATCAGGAAGCCCAAATGTGCAAATGGAGCTGGATGGGATTCCATGCCCCCAGGAATGTAGCTGTTTGACTGTGAAGGCCTTTCTGAACTCAGTATTATACCACAGCACCTTGACTACCCTGGTCCTCTTTCCCCCCAGGTTGGATATGAGATGGGGTTGGAAACAGTGCCTGTGATGCCCAGAAGACCGTGAAGAGCAGAGCACACCAGTGTACCAGAGGCCCAGGAAGGTGCTGGCAGGGAGTGGGCCTCTGGATACCATGGAAGGTAGACCCTATGGCCCATGGACTGAAAATGAGACCACCATCTTGTCCCCTGTGAGCAACAGACATGGACATAGAGCTGCACAGAGACATAAATAAATATTCCTACAAATGCTTAATCCATCCTGGAGGAGGCCTGGTAGCCATGGGGCACATTAGAGGGACCCTGTCCTTCCATCCCAAGTACTAACTATAGGCTATAGAAGACAGCCTTAGTCTAGTGTTTTTGTTGCTTACAAAAGAATACCCAAGACTGAGTAGTGTAAAAAGGAAAGGAATTTATTTCATACAGTTGCAGAGGCTGAGAAGTCCAAGCTGGAGGGGCCCCACCAGGCAACAGCCTTCTAGCTGCTGGAGTCTCTGCAGGGAATCACATGTGGAAGGAACTGGGTGTGTCATCTCAGGTCTCACGTTCTCTTCTCTACAGCCCCCAGTCCCACCCTATGACACCCACCCATCAATTAACCATGAATAGATCACTCCATTCTCAAGGGCAGAACCCTCCTGACACAGTCACCTGTTAAAGGCCCCTCCTCTCCTTCCTGCCACATTAGGGATTGTGTTTCAACAGGAGTTTTAGAGGGGACAAATATTCAAACCATGGCAAGCACAACAAAGCATAGCAAGACTTCAGGACTCACTGTCCTCTGCCCCAGAGACCACTGAGGGACAGTTAGTACACTCGCGTGGGACGCCCGGGACCGGGGCAGAGTAGGCTCCCTTGGGTCAGTGTCCACCTTCACTTCAACGGCACACTCAATTCCATTTATCTTGAGCCGACACCAGCAAGTGTCAGCGTTGTCTCTCTTGAGCTCCATCCTGCATCTGTCCATGTCAGCCCCTTGACACCACCTCTTCCCATAGGTTTCCCACTCTTGGTCATAACTACACTGCATGGTCGATGAGTCCAGTTCTGGGCCACTTGTTGTTTCTGGAATGGTGACTGGATTTCTGGTAGTGGAGTACCCTGGGGAGAAAAAAAATCCATGTAAAAACCACTGCAAGGGCAGGACAACGGATTAGCTCCAATATCCAAGTATCATTCATGAGTTCGACCAAACTCATGGAGAAAATAATAGCTTCCCCATGACAGACCTGTGCTTTGTCCTACAATATTCTACTGAATCAAAACCACGAGAGAACACTGCCACAAACCCCAGAGAAATAAAATTGTCAACATTGAGTAATAATAGCTTCTCGTAATTCACCTTCTCCACCCACAAAAAGCCAACACATCTTTATATTTCTTGAAATGTTCTATAGCAACTATCTTTGTACTATATTCACCTGATGGGGAGAAAATATCAAAAGACTGATTTCCTCAGGGGAATCATGTTGCCTCGACTCTCGACTATTCCCGGTGGTTCTAACATTGTCAACTGGCTCTGCTGTAGTAACCCAGCCTAGAGGACAGCCTTTGACATCCACTGAAACAGAGACACCAACTGTTCTCCATGGACTATGGGATCTCGATTTATCCATATGTTGTTATAAATTCCAGTTTCAAAATACCACTAAGAGCTAACCTTTAGGGTAAATCAAGTAAAGGTTACAGGTAAACAGGTTTGCCCATTCTATGTCCCCTTCTATCTTGTAAAATCTTTACTAAAATCAGTGGTGATGATGTGTTGGTAGAAACCACAGACAGAAAGAGCCAATTGAGTGTCACATTAGATGTAAACATTTTTAAATATAAAAGGGTACTTTCCCGAATGTTATGCTAATGTATATTCAGTAAGATAGTTAACTGTTGGTGGGAGGGGGTGAAATAAACACAAAAACAAGCCAAATACGTAAATGGACAAATAACCATGGGGGGAAATAATCTAAGTTATCATAGAATCTATCAAGACAAAGGCTCTGTTTACCTTATTTATAAGTAAATAAGGTTTACCTATAAACCTTACTCCAAAAGCTTTATAGGTAATTGCTTTTTTAATTCTAAGGAAAGAAAATTCCTCTGGCCTATTTCTGACAATAAACCTAAACAAAGGCAGCACAGAGATGGCTACAGAAAGGGCCACACCCGGAACACAGTTCTGGGGCTGAGTCCTGACTGCTGCACTCAGCCCAGACAGCTCTGTGGCCCCAGGCCCGTGGCTGTGGCTGGTGCTGCCCTTGTCCAGGTTCAGCCAGTGTGTTGACAGTGACAGTCTCCACTCTACATCCAGACTTCTGGCTGCTCTGGAAACAGGAAAAGACCTGACATCACAAGGCCACTCCCTGCATGGGGAAGACAGCAGCAGTGACCAGGGCTGGGCCTCTCAGGCATCTTTGGCTCCCCGAGCTGCTGATGCCTCTCTCCTTCCCAGGGTCTCTCCCACCCTGAGGCCTGG